AGTCGTTGGCAGGTGTGTGGTTTGTTCTGGACTCTGTTTGTGTGTGTGTGTGTTTCTGTCTTCAGTACCTGATGAAGAAGCTTCTCTTGCTGCTCCGTAATGATGCCGCTGCAGAAACTAAACTGCTGTTTATCAGCTGCTCCCGCAGGTCGTGAATCTTCGCCTCAAACCTGCTGTACTCTAAACACACACACACACACACACACGTGTGAAGCTCTGGTCCGGAGTGTCAGGACAGGGTTATTGAGCTGGACTTCTCTGCGTCTCACCCTCTGGTCTGTACTGTGCGATGATGGTGACCGTCTGTCCTGCACTCTTCAGCGCCGCCGCTGCCTGTTCATGAGTCGCATGACGCAGATCCACACCATTCACCTGCAGCATCACCACAGCATTACAGCAGCATTGTGTGAGTGAGAGAGAGTGTGTGTGTGTGTGTGTGAGTGAGTGTGAGTGTGTGAGAGTGAGTGTGAGAGTGAGTGTGTGTGTATGAGTGTGTGAGTGAGAGTGAGTGTGTGAGTGAGTGTGAGAGTGAGTGTGTGAGTGAGTGTGAGAATGTGTGCGTGTGTGTGTGTGTGTGTGAGTGTGTGTGTATGAGTGTGTGAGTGAGTGTGTGTGTGAGAGTGAGTGTGAGTGTGTGTGAGAGTGAGTGTGTGAGTGAGTGTGAGAATGTGTGTGTATGAGTGAGTGAGTGTGAGAGTGAGTGTGTGTGTGTGTGTGTATATGAGTGTGTGAGTGAGTGTGTGTGTGCGTGTGTGTGAGTGAGTGTGTGTGTGTGTGAGGGTGAGAGGGAGAGTGTGTCTGCGTGTGTGTGTGCGTCTGCGTGTGTGAGAGAGTGTGTGTCTGTGTCTGTGTGTGTGTGCGTGTGCGTCTGCGTGTGCGTGTCTGTGTGTGTGTGTGCATCTGCGTGTGTCTGTGTGTGCGTGTGAGTGTGTCTGTGTGTGCGTGTGTGAGTGCGAGTCTGTGTCTGTGTGTGTGTGTGTGTGAGTGTGTGTGTCTGTGTGTGCGTGCGTGCGTGCGTGAGTGAGTGAGTGAGTGAGTGT